TTGAACCAACTATGTCTGTGAAAATTAACATTTTTCATTCTATTGCAGTTTGAGCTCTTAAAGTAGTTTTTTTGAAACTTAAGCAAATATTTTCAAAAGAACAAAGCATTTTGAAGAAAAATTGTCGCTGGTAAAGTTGTTCAGTATAATCCTCTTCATACCCTAAGCGGAGCACTTTTTTCATTTTAGTGGGGAAATTTTGAAATTAATTACAAATAAAAACTTTAGAGCTTTATTAAATTTACTTAAAATTTACATAAATTGTATTTATTTCAAAATTTTCCCACTAAAATGAAAAAGTGCTCCGCTTACGGTATGAAGAGGATTATACTGAACAATTCTGTCAGTGAAAATTTTTCCTCGAAATGCTTCCTTGTTTGAAAATGCTTGCATAAGTTTGTGTATCCAGTAATGAAAAAAGCCGAAGTTCGGTGCAAGAGCGATTTCACCTATTATAGGTTTTCACTAGGTTTTTCTTTTACTGTTTCAAAGACTGATAAGGTATACCACCAATTATTTCTTCTATGCATTGCTGAAAACCGCAAGTCTTCGAAGTGCATTGTTCAAAAGTTATTAAAGAAATAGCTATCGGTATTCTTTTTTAATAATATATGGATTTTTAATTCATATAACAATCTATATATGAAAAAATCTCAAAAAAACCCCACATCTTGACAAATTAAAAAACAAAATACAGGATTTTCTGCGCTTTAGCAGCTGATTCAAATGATATATTTGTTATATTTGAGCGAAAGAGGTTGAAGAAAAAAAGAATGCAAACGACCAGACTGCAGTGAACTAGCATCAATTTTAGAGAAAACATTTATAAAAAGTCTATTAGATAGAAATTTTTTCTTCCTTTTTACCCTGTCTCGCAGCTATAGCTCGAACAGAGGTTAAGCTATTAGTATGATCGCTATGGCCGTTAGGTTAAGTTGTTTGGCACGTACCCCCAAGGTACTGTGTTCTAGCCTCGGCGCCACCAGACATGAAATGACGCTGGACCCGGTTGTTTGCCTCGGATCACGCTTCCGATAGCATGCTGACTACGTTGTGACATACACCGGCCCTAGTAGCTAGTAAGTGGTTAGTCAGTGTGTACGGGGTGATCAAGCGATTGAGCGAAAGAACTCTGAGTCAGACTGGCCTTCTGTCCAGAACTACAGCTAATATTAGTTGTAGGGAAGATATCGGGCTTACGAAACTGTCTCCGGACAGCACCCTATACCGCAAGGTAGCCGAAAGGCGGGGTATTCTTTCTTCCTTCCTGGAAGGAAAATGACAATTTAAACTTCAAATATGTTTTCGATGTTATCTATATAGTTGTATGAAAGCAAAATAAAAGAGTGAATGAAACGAGTAATCAAGTTTTATTCAGATCTTAGATTATCTTATCTAAATCAAATAGTAAGATGTTAAGATAATTTTAAGACGTGCCTACGATTTTCACTAGAGAACTCACTACAAGTGAGTTGAAAATGTGTCCTGAACTGTGAATTTGTTGCACGATTATATCTGATGGTGTCCGAGCGCCATAATACATCACTACTGAACTGTTCGCTCAAATTTTAGCGAAATCAGGCTCCGCTCAGGATCACAGAATATATGAATAGACGCAAATCACTTAGACTCCTTAAGAGTCCTAAAATCTGTACTATGCACTAGTGCCATCATACCTCAAGATCGTTTTTTCCTATTAGGGCTGTTTGTGTTTCCCAAAAATCTGCAGCTTGGTAGATGATGGAGTGCTCGAGTTAGTTCCTTAATGACATCGGTACTTCGACTGCAATATAAAATATAATACTCAGGATCTTTAAAACTCACTCTGTTTTTATAAGCAATAGAAACATATAGGTGCCTTATTTCATTGATTTGAAGGAGTCACTCAAATCCTGACACGTTTATAAAAGTTGCGCAGAAAACTGTTTTCCTTCGTTCTGAAACCTCTAATTTTTTATCCAAATGTGTCTGATCAGGATTAGAATTATCTAAAAGTTAATTATTAGTTTAATTCATTAACTGGTTTCATCAGATGAGAAATCAGTTACAGATAAATTTCTATTTGTTTCGATCTGTAGTAAAACTTACAAGCTCAAGTATGTTCAACTGTATAAATGATATGTATTTATAATGAGTTTTTGTTGAAATTCTAAATATACCTTAAATGTTGTCTTGATTAAAGTTTTTAGACTACACAATAAATACCGATCTTCCGATTCAAATTATTTAATTTAATTTTCGTCATATCGTGTTTAACACTCAACAAAAAAATAGTTTATCTTCAAAGTGTAAACATTATTGCACAAAAGAAAGCATTAAGAAAATACCACGTTCGATTAAAACAAAAATATGTATGTATGACTCGTTGATAGAATGAATTTTTCATTTAAATAATTTTAGAATAACGCTTATCTTTCTTGAAGGATCTATGATGTTGATTATGTTGCATGTGTCCGTGTAATTCTTGCCCTGGTTCCGGACCGTTGGGAGGTGGTGGAATTCTATAAGCATTGTCTGGAATATTATCGACATTTAAATTCTAAAACAAACAACGTTAAATTCATATACATTTTCTATCATAACGAATTAACAACAATAATACCTTATTTCTTCTAAAATAATAGGAAGGCGGTCCAGCACTACTGCAGATACCGTCTTCGAGTAATTCTTCGCCATCAACCCAGTACATAATATAAAAATTACACATTTCATCATCACCCGTCGGTCTAAACAAAAATCCGATATAGTTAGAAGGAAACTTTTATAAATAATAATAATAATATGTAAATTACCCTATTTGAACGGTTCTGGATCGAGTATTGAGCATTGTACAAGCGGCTGCTACATAATCTCCTTTTTCTAGTGTGACATCATTGTTTATAGGATAGAACATTTGTGGTAATTGTGGTGAACGACGACCAATTTCTGTCCAAACTTGATCATCATAATCGCCTCGTACACGATAACCAGAATTAACAAGACCTACGTGAAAAATTTATTAAGAATTTTATTTTTTATCATACAATAATATTATACATACCAAGTTTATGTGCATGAGTTCTAAAAGCGAATGGATGCATTACGATGTTTTGATCGATCTTACATGCGACTTCGAATAGTTCTAAAACAGAGATAATAAATCAAATAATAACAACTTTTAAAAACACTAAAATTGTTCGTTCAAATAATATAAAATTCTTTAATTAAATCGAAAAGTGATTGTGTTAAATAATAGACTGACGAATGAGCTGTGAAAAATCTGCAATTAAATCAATGTTCAGTGATAATATTACAAGCATAAAGTATATTGCGAACACTGTGCGAATATTGATGTAGCAGAGCCATCTTCTAACGAACTCGTACAAAATAGTGAAATATGTTTGTGAAAAATATCAGTGACCTACGAGTAGCCATTTCATTCTCAGTAAGAATATTCTTTTATATCAAGGTTAGCGTAAATTAGATAAATTCTCACAATTGAACAGATGTCCAAGCTAATAACTATACGTTTGATACAAAATTGCTTCTCTTCTGTCTCTCTAAAATGACTGGTAACGATTACCTTCTGTTTGAGCATCGATTTTTCCTCCGGTGAGCAATATATAGACGCCAGCACGCTTAGTTGAACTAAAAATGTGCAGATTACTATAATTAATAACAACACAACAGTCACCAGTGCTATACAAAACTATACAAATCACGCGTGAAAGCATTTTCAAGATGATATACGTATTTATTTTCTAGAAGCATAGATGTTCAATAAATAGCAACAAAAAGTTCTAATCATTACCCATAGAATGTGGTGTCATATAGCCACCAGTGAGCATTAGTAAAACACCAGCCGTCTTTGGTGATCTGTAAAGGCGATTTTATTAAGCAGCAATGAAAAAATAATTAACTAAAAAACCCCATAAATTCTACAAGCCATTAAATAATAACTTACGGAGTTTTTGATGTTTCAAGAACCATTCCTGATCGATCAGATTCACCCACTATAAATAGATAAAAAGTAGCAATAATAATTCGAAAAATGATTTGCTTATAAATTACCAAGAAATTTGTCAATATTAGCATAATGAACTTGGACTACAAGATATTTTATTGCTGTATTACCACCAACTTTAAATGCGACATCTACAAAGAAAAATCATTGTTCTAATGTATTCGATATCTTCATGCCTTTGTCGTCTACTTATATACCGTTCGGTAATTTTAACGATGGTGCATCCATCGCCCATGCATAAATAATTGTTGAACCCGATTCACACACTGGACCAGGTGTGTAATCAGAATTACCATTGGCCATTTCACCACAATTCCTACAATTTTTATCTATTAGCCTAAATTATGATTAATGAGTGATTCTTACCAAATTTTGTGTTTTGAACCAGGTTCTGTACAACCATATAACAACATGTGATGGGCATCTTTTGCTGTCGCTGATGGATTAAAACCGGCTAGAAGAAACAATAACTGGCTAGTTGACTATTGACCTTTAAAATATCATCTTACTTATAAAAGTTGGTGAATCATAATCCATTTCAACGGCGGTGCACAAATATTCATCAATCTAAATAAATTTTTCTAATACATTTTTCAAAATCTACAATTATATATACCAACCTGCGTTGCACGTGCATCTGGCATCAAAACGTTCAAACTTTCGGTGGATATATTGTTGATTAGAAAAAAGAAAATATTGAGGCTCAACAGGAGCATGTGTCGCGCCATATTATACCACATGATTGTGTTAAATAAAATTATATCCTAATATTATAACACCATCTAAAATATATAATAAACACGTGAATCTTTTTTTGTCTTCAAACTTGATCTGTTGTTTCGTGCTGGTCTTTTTTTTGACATAAAAACACGAAGAGCACGGTTGACTCACATAGAGTTAACAATGATCTTTTACATAACATACACCAACCATATTTATTCTTCTTTTTCTTCTACACGTTCTTGTATTCTCACAACGATGAATTCGATTTACTGTAGAAAAATAACAAAAATTATTATTATTCATTTGCGCATATATCGATGCAGTAGACAAAAAAAAGGAAAGCGGATTTTCTTTCTTTCTTTCTTTATTTTTTTACATTAACTTCGCCATATCTAATGTAGCATCGTTAAACGTATAGAAAATAAAAAAACATTTCTCTCTATTCTATGTCAATTTTTACAGAACTATTCTTTTTTTCTCCTTTACTAGAAAGTTTTTATTTGTGTTCGCTTTGTTATAAAAACTTGTTTAAGTATTCCCGACAATTTCAGATAATTATCAATGTCGAACACAAGTTCACTTTGATATTAAAATTGTATATGTTGCAATAGAGATAGTAATATTTGAATAGAATATGTACATGTCAAGTGAAACAGAATCAATACTATGAGATTGCAGATATAGGTGAGAAGGGTTCAGTTTCCCCCCTTCCGGCTTTTGAAATATGTATAGTTTGCATGGCTTCATTGGTCGCCTGCTCCAGAGCAGCCGAGTGATGATGATGATGCCTTCATAGTTGAAGACCAAATGTACAGTGAGCATTTTGCACTAGGCAATCGGACATTAAATTTTTTTATCATTAGAAATGAATGACTCTCTATACTTGAAAGTAGTATTTTATAAGAAAAAAACTAATATTCTGAAAACTATTAGATTTTGATAAAAAAACTGTAAGATGAAATTTTTTGTTCTGGAAAAAATAAATTAGAAAATGTTTGAGAACTAACTACATTAATCGATGCAGTTCTTTTTAACGGTAATTTCAAATAGGATATTTGTTTAGTTCAAAACATCTTTTAGACGAGAATACGAAGTTTTCCATGAAAAACTAGAGATTTTGGAAACATCTACTCTATGGTTCAGAATGATTTGGACTATTTTGAATTACGCTCATAAATAGAATAGATATAGAAGATATTATTATATTGAAAGTTTGAGTACTGTTGAAAAGGTGGAAAATGAGTGAAATTGAAATAAATAACTTTCATTTAAAGGGAACGATAGCCTTGAACTTCTACTATTTTTGTTTGATAAATATCTGCATGAATGAATGTCCACTATGACATGCTAGCCAAAGTTTTCTGAAGCTCTGAAACACTTTAAAGCATCGGACTTCTAAGATCAATTGTTTTTTTAAAATGCATGGCCGATCCACAACAGTTTCTAATTAAGTAGCTGATTAAATGGCATATGGGCTTCATTGACTCCCTCTCTTAGGCGTAGCAATGAATTTCTTTGCAACGTGAGACAAGACAGAAATAATCTAATGAAAAATTGGAACATCTTTTGATAGAGAACAATTACATAAGAAACTAGTTTTGATTAGCTGAGTTAAAATACAAGACAACAGAATTTAATACATGATGAAGAGTTATAACTAAATGCCGAAGAGACGTATAAATGATATAAGCGCCTCGAGACTTAGTAAGATTAACCTTATTTCTGTGTAATTCATCAACATCAATTAAAATAAAGAATTGTGTTTGTAGTTCTCAGCTATGAGATTGATTGCTAATATTTAATCTGTTCTCCATATTCTGAAAAAAAACGATACTTCTGCAAAAATATTATTGATGTCAGAGCGCATTAAGCATTCTTTTGAAGTAGAAACCGAAATTATCAGGGTCATCTTTGTCAAGAAAAATGTGATATAAAACTCCGTTAGTGGAGAATTAGTTGAAAACCAAGTCAATTTTCCAACTGTTTTAGGATCAAAAACGAACTTAGAACGCTACTCAATAATTTTTCTAACTCAGAAAATTACAGTATTTACCATGAAATATAATATCTTAGAATTTTTGCTCGTTTGACAAAAGAGTCGTACTACGCAGTATCATCACCGAAAATTCTAAGTTGCCGCATAAAACTAGAATTCCTATTTTGTCGTCAACCTATGCAGACATTTCGGTTCTATCCTTGCTGAGACACATTCCAAATTACCTGAATTCTAATTCTGTCTGTAACATATCTTCACAAAGATATTAAATATGTTGCCTCCTGCTCGCAGTTATTTATCATGACTCAAGCTTTTCATCTACGAAGCTTAATTTTAAATCCATGGCCTTACCGAATTCATACAGATTGAACGTAACTTTTTACTCAGGATGTAACCATATACCACCACAAATGTGTAAATTTATAATTTTAATTTGTAGAGATTTTGTTGTTATTTAATTCAGCGTGAAAACACTTTTCAAATAAAAAAACCTTTTGAAGTTGATTTTGTTCTCAACCTATGCAGAATGTTGAGGCATGTGCAGTTTTAAGCACAAAACTAGAAAAGTTCATTTGTGAAAAGTAGGAGAAAAATGTCTTTTTCTATAAATGCAACCGATGAACTATTCGATAATTTATAGACTGCTGTTGTAACATACTGTTGTCCGTTTATTATTATTTTTCCAGACATAAGTTCGACATCACAGATCGATAAGCCGATCAATGTCATCGACGTATCATTTCTTGCATAATTTCGGACTCCTCCTCTATCTCTTATACACAAAGTTGGATCTTGATAGGAAACTAAACAGTTTGTTCCAAAACATGTGTGTCAAGTAATTTGTGGTTCATTTTTCTTGATTTTCGGTCATGTTTCTACTAAACAGATGATATTACTCTCCTTCGTCCATTTCTTATTCTTCACATCTTCAAAATGTTCATCTAGTCCTTCGACATAATGATAAATTAATCGAAACTGACAATTATTCTGCAGATTATCATATTGATCTTCATCTTTAGTATTGATTCTTCAATTCTCTCACCACAAAAGAATGGGTCCGCTTTAAGATGTGTTAAAATACTCCTGCTAACCCTCTTGTAATAGACGTATAATCTTGTCGTGTTTAGTGTATTTATCCAGATTTCATGTTATCTCTTAAATCTAACAGATAGAGGAAGATTTAGAACATTATTTTATTTATTGGGCAGCTAGCTTCTCACAAAGCTTAGTTAGAACAATACAAAAATACATCAACACTCATTACAAACATTATAGTCTGTGTCACATTTATTCATTTCGGGATGAGCCCGCTGGCGTGACAGTGAGACTCTCACTGCAGCCGTATAGAGTCCAGGTTGACCATAGGCCTGCGTAGTGCCTGTATGACGCCGCCGCCCGCAGGCAATATGGAGTCAGCAGGTTGACAGAACTTATGATTGATGCGTGAGCTCAGGCATGATGTGGAATCTAATAGAGCAGATTGTAATATTTGATACTGTTTGGTCGTAACAGCTGGGGTTATGTGGGCTGTGGAGAATAAACACGGGGGCGAAGGGGCGATGGTGGACAGGCTTAAACTTCTGAACACACAAACGAAAGTGATGAGAATCTAATTCGAAACCTTAAAATCTCAGTAACAACTGTCTAGAACAGAAACTAAATTGATGATGACTAATGGTGCACACTACGATTTCATCGATAATGAACTTCGATTTAATCGCGTAAATCCCAGTTATGATGACTTCATAAAGTGTAGCTCCTTGCACTTTTTGATACCCATTTTAATTGCAGTCGAAATTGTTCATCGTTCTTTTTCTTTTCACTTTTCATCTTTCTCAAATCTATTGTTAAATCTTTCAAGACGAACTATTTTATCTTGTTTATAAGGTGAACAACAAAGTGAAATGGACGTTTTTTGAATGCGTTCTAACTGGTTTACTGTTTTTTTCCAAACGCACTGGAACTTTTGTTCGTGTGATAAAATTATCTCATGGGATAGCACATCAGTTGATACTATTTTCCAGTTGATGATATTATATGAAAGTTTTGAAATTTGATCAACAACACGAAACGTATCTTTGCATATCAGTGCATGTATATGTGAAAATCGATGATATTTGTACAATACACTAATACTCGAAAAGACAAGACGTCGACACCTCTCTAACTTTATGATATAATAGACATAAACATAATCTCACATTTAGAATTGAGGAGCGAGTAGCGAGTAATGTTTGTAATTATTGAGTGTTAATGGCTGTTGGTGGTGGTTAGTGGATGATAAGTGTATTTTACCGATATTCGATAGTCAACTAGCTAATATTCTAGCTAGCAGAGATAATAGTCCATCTTCATTATACATAAAAGAATTTTTGACAATCGTAAGTCATAGATCGACGCAAAATCATACAGTACACTTGATTCCATTTTTCAGCTTCCCGATTCTCTAAAACCAGGTACTCAAACAAAATCAAAAAAAGATATTTCTATCCAGTGGTACCATTGATTTCTGTCAATGACAAATATAGATATCTTTTTATTGAAATATCTTCATCACACTGACGAGGATATTTCTAACTTTATAAAAGCAAAAAAAGAGAGTATCTGCATTTGTCACTGATAGAAATCGTGTTTGGTATCCTGAGATGGAAATACCCTTTTATGATTTTGCATCAGTCGATATATTGGGCTATAACACACCATTATATCGGGGACCGTAGCTCCTCACACTAGCCTTTTCTTGCGTCCCAATATATTGAGACGATATCCGAATGCACTAGATACCATGCCCAATATATCTACATAACCCAATAAAAGTGGCACCTATATCTAGATATTTCATTGTAGGATTGCCCAATACAACGCTAAAACATTTAAATATTTTCATGTTTTTTGCATTTTTTGCTTGCGGGCATCCAATGCAATGATTCAGAGCTGATTGATAGGTTAAATTTTTTGGTAAGATAGAACACCTAAAAATCGCATGTACTGAGTCCGCAGAATAAGGTGGCCATATCATGAGTATGGTACGTTCTGATTCGAAATAGTTGGAAATATCTTTACTAGTAGGTGATCGAAGATTGTTATGATAAAGTTTGATACCTAGACTATTAGGTGATGATCTCCCTTTCTCATTTCGTCGATAATTAGCTGTAAGCAATTATTGATATCGTATTAGTGATTGTCAGTCTACCTTTTTCTACATTTATCTTTTTTGTACGAAAACTGGGCCAGTTGTCTTACAAAAGACAGAAAACAGCATTTGCGGTGCCAACTTCCTGCGTCGAATCACAGTTGACGGAGACTCTCCGCTTGCTGTTCTTCTCGTGTTTTATAACTTTCGATCCATTTGCTTATGACGCATCTATAATCGTCTCCTATTACCACACCATGTACTCGTCATGTTCCTTTGTTCGATCTTATCAAAAAGTTTAATCGATCAAATCAGCTCCCAATCATTTAGATGCCATAATCAAGAGTATAAATTTTTTGACTAAAGATGATATTAAAAACTTTTGACAAACGCCTTGACCGAATGTAACTGTGTGCGGATAATCACGGCTATTAGTTTGAATATTTGCTGAAATAAAAACTTGATTAACTCTTTTCTACGAATTTTTATCTGGAAATCTCGGAACTATTGGTATACCCGAAGTATTTTTCTCTACGGCAGTTCTCAGCGTAAAATGTTACATGAGTCACTGTCCTCAGACATCATGTAAGGCTGCATCATTGTTATTGCATAATAGTTACGTCACTATTAAGACATTACTAACACTATAATAGTTACGTCACATCCGCCACTATATAAACTCTCGTTTTCCATTTTCGAAGGAGTTGTTGTACAATTCATTTTCGAAATAGATTACTACGAAAACACGCTTGGACTTATTTATCAATGTAAACCGGGGGGCTATCAAAGCAATGACGATTTTCTGGTATCACGCTCCAAAAAAGCTCCTTGTTAGATGGCAGATAGAATAGAGTTATAATGGGTAACAGGGAACTTCTAAAGAAATTTTTTAAACCAGAGCCGTTTTGAGATACTTAGTAAAAACTGGTACACAGGATAGCTCGTACAAAGTTAACTATAGATATGTGTTTTACACAAAAGAAATCTCGCTATCATCAATTCAATACGTGTTAAAAGAAATTTTTCATAATATAATGATGCTATAAATGATGTGGTTTTACTTTTAAGTAAAGCCATCTGCAGTCAGTTTTGTCAGTCGTTCATAATTGTGTCTTTTAAGTCTTTTATGAACTGCTGACAAAACTGACTGCAGAATACCA